AGGCGAGCCAAGTCACAAACATTGCGCTGTGCGAAGCGACAATTTTAATGACGCGGAGGAAGTACTACCTGGTATACTCAGTCTGTACTATTTAATCACGGGGATCACAGACATTCGCCACAATGTGTGTATGCGATACTGTGTGAAGTCAAACGTGCACGGACATGAGCCATACAGTTCTCCATTATAAGCCCTGCGCTTATAGTGGACACTGGGCTAGTACACCTCCGAAGCCCTCTTGGAGTGCGCTTAAAACAGAGACGGAGCCTCTACAAGAGACTGGGCTTGTAATAGAGATAATACAGTAGCTCAATCACTACGCAAGTCAAGGACACACGCGTACGGGGTTGCAGGAGCGCAATTGTGTTGTTGTGGACGTCGTCGTCGTCACCATTTATAATACAGTCGACCCTAAAAAATATAATCCGGCACCATTTGTAGTACGGAAATTCTGCCGGATTAGGGAGGGTGCTAGATAGAAAATCCGATTTACTGCTGCAATGTGCACGAAAAGGACATTTCGGTTTTGGAAAATGTGCTGGTTAAAGTGGGATTCTGGGAAGCTTTTTGCGATGCGACACGCCGCGAAACCGGGAAATCCCCAAATCGCAGCCGACTCGCACCCCACGCAACTGCCGCAACTGGGCCATCGCAGAAGTTTAGCTTGGCTCAACTTTTGCGATGCGACAAGCGATTTGGCGTACGATTTTTGACCTCTTCTACAGCAAAGTTGTACAAAGGGAGTTGCCTGTAAATTTGTACTAGTTGTACCAAACCACGCGAATACCATGGTGACGCACCCACATGCATTGAATTTCGCGCCAAATCAGCAAGGCGTTGTCACATCACTGACTTCTTCCGTGAATGGTATTTTGCGAGTTCGCATCGCACGCCTCCGTCGCAGATAGCGTCGCATCGCCCATCGCATCGCAAAAAAAGCTTCTGTGAATAAGCCCATTGCGCAATGACGTCATTTGTACCATAAACACCCCACACAGTCACCTGGGCATGGTCGTCTGGGGGTATTGAACAGTGCATTCCTGATCCCAGCGTACTCAAATGCATCACTCATACCTTCCATATTTGGCAATGCGCCATGGGCTTATCCCGCTTTAGAGAGGGTGCTGGTTTAGAAAGTGTTGGATGAAAGAGGGACGCTGCGTCCACCCGCCTGTGTGGATTCACAGGAAGTGCGAGCTACGAAGTCTGGAGAAAATGTTGAACGGTCTCTGCTGGGATGACGACTACACCATAGCTCAGTGGTTAGAGCATCGCTGGCTACAAGCGAGGGTCCCTGGTGAGAGTCCTGGTGGTGAGAGTCAATTTTTTCTTCAGACTTTTCCCATTAAATTGTGTCTTTCCCTCCAACCAGTGACTGTATAGTCGTTGTTGTTGCTGTTGTGATGTGTGTTGGGTGGCAGTCATGTGACCTGTGTTGGGAGGCAGTCATGTGACCTGTGTGGGGTGGCAGTCATGTGACCTGTGTTGGGTGGCAGTCATGTGACCTGTGTGGGGTGGCAGTAGGCCAAGCCCAAATTTGCTCGGGGCGCTTCGATATTTTGCCGGCAAATTTTGCCCGAGCACTTTCCATATTTTGCTTGGCATTGCCTTTCGTTTTCGATATTTTGCTCCATTTTGCTCCTGCTTTGTCGCAAAATGGCGTCGAATGAACCGTCTACTTTGGTGAAAGTGGATTGGTGACACTGACGAGGAAAGCAAAACTTGTAATGGTGTCAGTATTACGGATTTCGTAGCATGATTTCAAATTTATGTGCCCCTGACAATCTGCACGAGCTATTTCAGCACGACGGCCCAATGAAACCAAAGAAATTTGAATAAAATTGCCAAAACACACCCAGATCCTCTGTAAATTCGATATTTTGCTCGGAATTTGCCAGCAATTTCTTTTCGTGGGAAATTTCGATATTTTGCTGGAAGCATTGCCGGCAAATTTGGGCTAGGCCTAGGTGGCAGTCATGTAACCTGTGTTGGGTGGCAGTCATGTGACCTGTGTTGGGTGGCAGTCATGTGACCTGTGTTGGGTGGCAGTCATGTCACCTGCGTTGGGTGGTAGTCATGTAACCTGTGTTGGGTGGCAGTCATGTAACCTGTGTTGGGTGGCAGTCATGTGACCTGTGTTGGGTGGCAGTCATGTGACCTGTGTTGGGTGGCAGTCATGTGACCTGTGTTGGGTGGCAGTCATGTGACCTGTGTTGGGTGGCAGTCATGTGACCTGTGTTGGGTGGCAGCAAGAGTACATAAACCAGAGTGTGCAACTCGGGATGGTTCCTGTGGGAGCGTAATTCGTGCACTACGTCATTTCTGACGGCATGGTAAGCCACAGGTACGGTGAAAAGTTGCGTAACCAGTCGCGGTGGTGCAGTTCACTGAGTTTGTCCTGATTTCGGTTTTTTGAGACGGATAGCCTGGTGACTTTACATGTCGGTGGATGTACGCAGCGTACACAGTCACACAAAACACCGAAATCCTGAAACAGGACGTCTAAAATCAAGCAAACTTGGCTGATTTCCGGGCTATGAAACATGAAAATTTGAGCTCTACGCAAGTCGCGGCTTGGCTGATCTCATCAGGGTGACGTAGTGCACGAACTGCGCTGTTTCAGATCTGATATGCACAGTTGCACACTCTGGTTTATGTACTCTTGGTGGCAGTCATGTGACCTGTGTTGGGTGGCAGTCATGTAACCTGTGTTGGGTGGCAGTCATGTAACCTGTGTTGGGTGGCAGTCATGTAACCTGTGTTGGGTGGCAGTCATGTAACCTGTGTCGGGTGGCAGTCATGTAACCTGTGTTGAGTGGCAGTCATGTGACCTGTGTTGGGTGGCAGTCATGTGACCTGTGTTGGGTGGCAGTCATGTGACCTGTGTTGGGTGGCAGTCATGTGACCTGTGTTGGGAGGCAGTCATGTGACCTGTGTTTAACAGACTTACCCCATGCTTCGGGCAGTAGACGCCTCACAGCCGTCGTTCTCATCTCCGCAAAGAAAGCACCACGATGTACACACCGAAAATGGGACAGGTAACGATAGAAGTTTAGCTTGTCAGCCATCAGTGCAAAACCGGCGACCTATGATGAGAGGGGAGGAGGGGGGGGGGGGGGAGAGAGAGAGAGAGAGAGAGAGAGAGAGAGAGAGAGAGAGAGAGAGAGAGAGAGAGAGAGAGAGAGAGAGAGAGAGAGAGAGAGAGAGAGAGAGAGAGAGAGAGAGAGAGAGAGAGAGAGAGAGAGAGAGAGAGAAAGAGAGAGAGAGAGAGAGAGAATGAGAGAGAGAAGTTGGTCATTACTGGGCAGACACAACAACCGCCAGCACAATCAAATTGATTGAAAACTGACACTTTGCAATACATAGCGGCAGCAGCGCGGCATATCACTGATGAGATGTGAATACACGACTATACTTTCCCAGTCATATTGGCAATCCTCCACAAGAGTGCATCCAGAAAACGCTGTGCATGTGTAAATGCTGCATTCATAAAAATGGTACTGTCTTCTCATGCCTAGGATAACAATGGTACTGTCTTCTCATGCCAAGGATAACAATGGTACTGTCTTCTCATGCCAAGGATAACAATGGTACTGTCTTCTCATGCCAAGGATAACAATGGTACTGTCTTCTCATGCCAAGGATAACAATGGTACTGTCTTCTCATGCCAAGGATAACAATGGTACTGTCTTCTCATGCCAAGGATAACAATGGTACTGTCTTCTCATGCCAAGGATAACAATGGTACTGTCTTCTCATGCCAAGGATAACAATGGTACTGTCTTCTCATGCCAAGGATAACAATGGTACTGTCTTCTCATGCCAAGGATAACAATGGTACTGTCTTCTCATGCCAAGGATAACAATGGTACTATCTTCTCATGCCAAGGATAACAATGGTACTGTCTTCTCATGCCAAGGATAACAATGGTACTGTCTTCTCATGCCAAGGATAACAATGGTACTGTCTTCTCATGCCAAGGATAACAATGGTACTGTCTTCTCATGCCAAGGATAACAATGGTACTGTCTTCTCATGCCAAGGATAACAATGGTACTGTCTTCTCATGCCAAGGATAACAATGGTACTGTCTTCTCATGCCAAGGATAACAATGGTACTGTCTTCTCATGCCAAGGATAACAATGGTACTGTCTTCTCATGCCAAGGAAAACAATGGTACTGTCTTCTCATGCCAAGGATAACAATGGTACTGTCTTCTCATGCCAAGGATAACAATGGTACTGTCTTCTCATGCCAAGGATAACAATGGTACTGTCCTCTCATGCCAAGGATAACAATGCCTGGGCGAAATGAGGGTGTGACGTGCACACATCACACATCACACAGCACACAGACACACGGCACACAACGCACAGTACACAGCACACGGCACACAGCGCACAGACACACAGCCCACAGTACATAGACACACAAGCGCAACCCACAGCGCGCGGGCAGACCAGCACAGCTACTACCATCACAGCCAGTATACCTGTTGAAGTGCAAGTCCAGATTTGGACACCAGGTTACCGGTGGCGAGTAGATATTCCAGCTGTTGTCCGATATTAGGACCATGGCGAAGTGCACGCATTACCGTCCCACCTACGTGATTAGGAACACGAGCGCGAGCACGCAAACACACGCACACACACACACACACATGGGTGCGCGCACGCAACCATGCACACACACACACACACACACACGGGTGCGTGCACGCACACACACACACACACACACACACACACACACACACACACACACACACACACACACACACACACGCACACGCACGCACGCACACACACACGAACGCAAACACACACACACGCACGCACGCACACACAGACAGGGCATGGTGGCACTTGACTTTTGCTGAAGATGCTGTTATGCCTATAGATGCTGGCCGAGAATCCCATTCCAAAACAATACAATCAAAGTATTTCAACCTTTGTTTTTGGATACATGCATAACGACGAGATAATAGCAAGAGTACATAACCCCCCAAGAGAGTGCAACTCTCACGTACCCTGCTGCCCCGACAGGAGTTCAAGTACATTATTTATGATGCAACGCGACAGCACCTAATAGTCGAGTTGCACACTGTTGGGGGGGGGGGGGGGTGGTTGTGTCCTCTTGATACTAGGGATACCGTGCATGTACTAGTACCGTAAAGCAACGTTGAACCGCCCCCTCTCTAATTCCCGCCCCCTCTCTAATTACCCCCCCCCCCTGTCGATTATCTACTTGTGAAGCAACTTCGGCGTATACAAAGAAATACGATGTTGAACCGACGCTTGCACTGCTGTACACGATATGTGCCAATCCAGGATGAACATGTGCAAAATCCAGCACATCGACTCTGACCTTCCAAGTTGTCGTACATCATACTGCACTTGACAGCCTTGATCTAATTCGCGCCCCCTGCTGAAAACCCAGCTAGGAAGGGACATGGCGTGGAGGACCAGCTAGGAAGGGACATGGCGTGGAGGACCAGCTAGGAAGGGACATGGCGTGGAGGACCAGCTAGGAAGGGACATGGCGTGGAGGACCAGCTAGGAAGGGACATGGCGTGGAGGATCAATGGTACTTTAGGGTACTTGCAGTTTGACAATTTTTAACATCTGGCAATATGAGAAAATGGCCCTTTAAAGAGTTGCACAAAGAGACCCCTTACTGGTGGTGAGGTCAAACTTGTCCGGGTGCATCTTCATGGAGCGTGTCAGCTCACCGCGTACCGCCTGCAGCCATTGAGAAATCTTCTCCTGCAGCAGCAGCGAGAGGACACCGACCAACATGCACGCGCACACACACACACACACACACACACACACACACACACACACACATGCACACACGCACGCACACACACACACGAACGCACGCACACACACACACACACACACACACACGCACGCACACACGCACGTACACACACACACACACACACACACGCACACGCACACACGCACACACAGACATACACACATATACCATGCACAGTAAAATTCCCCAGATGCGGATGTCCCTAATGCGAGCACATACGCCTACGGGGCACCGTTCTGATCCATCTAGACTCTGAAAATACGGTTTTCAACGGAAACCACCCCAAAACAGTTATATTGATTGGCATAAATCTTCCCTAGCATGCAATAAGCATGTACGGTCCGAGTTACGGGCAATTCATAGGCTGTGTCTACATGAAGCGTTTCAACCCGAGTTGAGTTCGACCCGGGTCAGATTTCAACCCGCCATGTACACAAAATGAATGGTACGTTTACATGACGCATTGCGCTGGACCCGGGTTGAAATTTCGCCCCGGGTTGAGTTCAATCCTCCCCCAAGGGGAGGGTTGAAATCAACCCGGGTGAAGAAAATCGTACAAACGTACTTCTGTGCGTATCTCACGCCAGGTTTGAACAGCACGGCACATGCAAAATTTCGCGCGAACGGATTCACGTGACCAGACAGGACTCTAGAAGTGGACTTTGGGAGGCATATCAGTATTTGACCCGGGTCAACTGTCTTCATGTAAACGCTCACCTATTTTGTCTATCGTACAGACTTTCAACCCGGGCTGAACTCGACCTGGGTTGAAATTTCTCATGTAAACACAGCCTTAGTGTGGTATGAGCCCCGTACACACTCCTGTATGCACACACTCTCGTACACACTCCCGTATCAGGGGCGTAGCACCCGCTACGACTGGTACGACCATGGCCGTACCACTCTTCGAAAAGTGTGGTCCGTCGTCCGGAACGTGCAAAACCGTAAAAAGAAAAAATCAGGATCCATCGATGCATATGCGCATCAGACTTTGACCTTTTTCTACTGTCGAGTCGTAGACCTACTTGTAGATCTGCCATGCATCTGCAGTCATACACCTACTTGTAGATCTGATATGCATCTGCAGTCGTACACCTACTTGTAGATCTGCCATGCATCTGCAGTCATACACCTACTTGTAGATCTGCCATGCATCTGCAGTCGTACACCTACTTGTAGATCTGCCATGCATCTGCAGTCGTAGACCTAAAGAGGGAGTGTGCGCGTTTTCGATGGAGTTTGTCCGCTCCCTCATCCGAACATACTACGCATCCAGACTCGCTGGAGACTGAAGACGAGTACATACCAATCATGTTGATCCAAACCCATAAAATAATGACGTCAATCCATACCCTGCTGTCCCGACAGAATTTCAAGTTGACGTCATTATTTATGATGCAACGCTCCTTGCACCAGTGATTTACAACATGTGTACGGGTGCAACGCATCACACGTTTTTCTTTGCAATAATTTGTACAGGATCAGATGGGCTGTGATCCACCACAGGTTTCGGATTCGTCTGATAATCCGTGTACAGTACAGCGTGCATTGCATCATAAAAATGACGTCGAACTTGAAATTCTGTCGGGACAGCACCCATAGTCGAGTTGCAAGACTTGGGGGGAGGGGGGTTATGTACTCTTGACAGCACCCATAGTCGAGTTGCAAGACTTGGGGGGGAGGGGAGGGGAGGGGGTTATGTACTCTTGACAACACCAGGAGTACTGTAAACCCGGAAAGTCTAACGAGTCACAAAGTCTAACGTTTTAACGAACAATATTTTTTCGCTATTTGAAGAAACGCCATCGCGAACCCGGTTCGAGATGTCTGCGTTAAGATGCGCATACAGATGGGTGGCCAGGTAGCCATCGTTAAACTTTCTGCACGTCATCATGCCAAAATTACAAAAAAAACACTAAACTTTCCGGTTCTACAGTAAATGAAACGGAGAGTGTGCAGGTTCTGACTTTCCCGCATGGGTGCGTGTCACCGCCACATTACGGGATAACATCATATTTTGTGCAGACAAGCGGTGCGACGGGATGTGGTGTAGTGCGTACAACTGAGCTGCAGTCGTGGAGCAGGCAAGCTGCCTGAATCCTGCATGCGCGCACGCACTGCGTCACGAACACGATGTAATCGCGGCATTTCGCCGTGACAGTAACCCAACCGAGCTTCACACAATCTAGCCGGTAATGTACTCTTCAGACAGTTCTTAATGTGCACAAGCTACACTGCATCCACTTCATTACATGATAAACACTACACACACTATCCTGAAATCAAGTCAAGGTCTAGTATCTCAATCAAATTGTCCGCCAGTAGCCATCACCAGGATTATGGTAATCCTGATGGCTCCTGGCGGAAAATTTGATTAAGATACAGCCAGACCTCGCTTGACTGCACACACTCGTTTTCCACAAAAATATCCGGATAGGCGAGGAACCGGGTAACCGAACACCGATTGTGTTGGATGCGCTACGTATGCTGTAAATCTGTAACCAGCTATTTTCTTCCGGACCGCGAGGGATCCGAATAAAAGAGGACCGGATAAACGAGGTCTGACTGTACTAGCAATATGCAGCGAAGAGACCACTTGATTTGAGGACGGTGTGGGTATTTACAAGACAAGCGTGGATATACAGAGACAGTTGTAGTTGTTGTTGTTTTCCCAGCACACTGCACGAACCTTAAGGACCTGCAAGTAGAAATGGCCGCCGAGGAGAATCTCCTGGTTCATCGGTGAGTCGGCAGAGTCCGCGCACGATTTGCCAGCAACTAGGCTGAGCATTTTGCGCCACGCAAACCTGCACGCCCGTAACACGCACACACAACACACAACCCATGTATACATACACACGCACACACAACACACACATGCACCAACGCAAACACACGCACGTGCGCACACACACTCGTACACACACTCGTACACACACTCGTACACACACTCGTACACACACACACACACACACACACACGTGAAAACACATACCAGCTTTAGCGCTTGCACCCGAATACATCAGAGCAGTGTATAGAAAATGGGAGAGCCAAGTGACTACATGCAATGGAAAATCACAGAGCAAAGCTGCATGCATACCCACGTATTCTCACAACATCGCACAAGGATA